CTTTACAAGTTACTATGATTGAATAGACAATTCCTTCAGCAGCAGGAGTTGTGTTATCACACCAGCAGTGTTTTACCTGTCGCTGCAGACAGTCAGCCGCACCAGAGCTGATAGCGTGCTCCCCTCACCCAACACCACCACTCTTGCTTTAACATCAGCTTTCTCTTTCAGTGGGCGAAACTATCACAGTTTTGAACTGAAGCAGGAAAATTCAAGAGCCGCTACCAAATCACTTCATTAAGAGAAAGCCCTTCACCTCTGTCAGTAATAACACTTGTCAATGTACCGTGTGACACCTCCTGTCCTGGTGACAAGGACCTTCCTAAATACTGAGGTCCACACCTTAACAGCTTCATAGCTGAAACATAATGGTGTATTGTCTTGCTTTCCAGGAGTACAATAATGTATTGTTAAACCGCAAGGGAAATTAATATTTTGTTTTCAAGTAAGGCAACTTTAATTCCTCTCCCACTCATATTATTATTTTTCCTCTTTCTTTGGGAGAAGAAGAGATTATATATGTAATGTATATATATATATATTTAACCTTCTCAGCTTACTACCCTAATCATACTATCCTTTTAGTTAAATTCCACTGTTTGTTCTTACATAAAGAGGTCATATCCCAGGTGCCAAAAGGTAACAGAAAAGCCCTTATTTATTCAAAAAGACAGAAGTTACAAAAATTCTTTTGTAAACTATCTTTGCTCTCTTCTAAATGTCGGCCCTTCATTCTTATAACATCCACTTTTCTGTAGAGGAAAGCTTTGTTTGTTCAATACCTATTTATATACATATATAAAACATATATATATGTTATATATATATATATATAAAACATTCAAGAAAGTCATGTTGGGTAAAGAGAATTATACAGAGAGAAACAGAAATTGCAATATTTCTAATAGCTCGTCCAGACACAGACACGGAGGCATATGAACCAACTGAAATGAATGAAACCTTGAAGGGAAAGGGTTAAACTACAGGAAAGTTCATGTGGCTCTTCCTTTATTTTGTACACTGTACTTCACTTCACTAGGGACATGAATACTCATGCTTTCCTCTGAAAAAGCTGGGTTTTTAAGAGAACTCAAACTCCTTTCTGGTTAGAATTCTGAAGTGATTGACTGTTCACCTCACTTCAACAGCAGAGGATAGCCCAAAGATTCCCAACTGCGGGCAGCTGTAGTCTGCAATTCCACACACAGTGATTTATCAACTCAAAGGGGCAGTTCAGAAAGTCCTCAAAATCTTCCTTCACTCTTAAGAGGCATTCGTATCTCTCTCATGGTTGTCTTTTTCAGATTAATTTCTCTTTTATATTATGCCTACTGCAAGTAAAAATTACTGCTTGGGGCGGAAATGATTTATTTCTACTGAACAGTTGTTAAAGCTCAGTCCAAAAATCAACAATTTGATTTTTGACACTGGTAACACACACTACTGAAAATCTTTCAAAATATCATCAGAATAATAGCATTTTCTGCTTCTAACATTTGCTCTTACACATTATGAGAAAACTACGTAGCCCAAAACAACAGTGAAAATTTAGCAGACCAGTTATTTCTCACGTGACCTAAGAATACATGTTTAATCGGGGAGCAGACTTGGGGAAGGCAAATATTTAATCATTAAAACAGCTGTTTCAAACAATGTATTTCAAATTATCACAGAATCACAACAATTAGAGATGGAAGGACCCCTTGCACATTCTGCTTCTTTTGAAAATCCAAATTTTTAAAGCCATCTTCTAATGGAATCTGTGTTTATCACTTTCCCTTCCCATTTCACAGAAGATTTCAATAGAAAAAGTAATGCTTTAGCTTTTGATTTAATTGAACAGCTTCTCAGCTGATTAGCTTCTCAGCTATGGAGGAGCTGATGATTATGAGAAAGAGCACATGGTATACTGATTATAAGCCTACTGTATCTAAACATACAGTGCTGCAAGTACCACTGATTAGCAGGAGGTGAATTGAGGCAAATATGCTAGCTACTTAAAAGTGTGCAATGTTTCACTCGCAAAAATATTATGTCAATAATGAGTTAATCCAAAAGTGATTATGCACATTTCTTAAAAATCAAAAATGTGCTTTAAAAGTGATAAACTAAAGCAGCAAATAATAGTTCTATTTAAAAAAAGTATATCCACAAAATAATGCCGTTATGTTATCAGCAAAATTGTCCAGACTTGGCTGAATGAGCTTTCTGACTGCATAGATATTACTTATCTGAAGACACCTTGCAAGTTGGCACTTTTAAAGAGAATTTAAGCATATAATAACTTCAGTTATTCACGAAAATTTCCATGAAGCTATAGCTTATATTAGAAAATGAGTAATGAATAAAAGCAAATTAATTCTTTTCAAAGAAGAAAGTTGAAAAGTTACAAAAAAATGCTGAATGACAAAGATTTTAATCATATACTTCCAGGCAACAAAAAAGTAACATATTTTAATAATGATGCATAATTACAATGCATTTTATCCGGGAGGATGCAAGGATTCATAACCAACAAAAATATATGCTTTTCCCAGTGACAGTCTCTTCCACAAAGGATTTCAGTCTTGCACACTCCATAGAACAGATAGGAACTTGTTCCATATTTAGCATTTTCATATAGAAGAGAAGGAGCAATTGAAACATGAGTCAGGTGTTTAACTATTCAGATAATGGATTTTGGGACAACTCAGGAGTAGATAGTGTTTATCTCATACCATTTTTACCTTTCTTTTGATAGTAACTTTGACCAGACAAGCAGAAGTAGATCAGTCACTCACCTGTGATACATAGTTTTTTCATGGATATTTACTTCAGGTCTGAATGCCTTCCCACAAGGCAAATCTTATCATTAGTTGTTTCCAGATAAGAAATTTGAGGCATATCCATTCCTTTCTGCATATTAACACTTGCAATTTTCAGTGAGTCACCTATGCTCTAAAAGCAGTTGTGGCACTCAAGATAACCATCTATTTGAATGAATACAGATGTAGTAGACAGAGGTAAACAGGAAGTGTCCTGTCTTTTTGTCTACTATAAAATAAAGCCTTTCCTCTCTTTCAGACAGAAGTACCTTGTGAAATGATTTATTTACCAAGTCAAGATGATTTCTTGCATTATCTCCCCTGCTAAAAGCAAATTGGTTAAGAAGATTCTTGATGGCCTTTCTCAAAATATTATTTTGCACTGTTGCAGTTAAATATCTTGGTATTTGCGGGGTTGAGTCCATTGCTTTATTCCTCCTGTTCTTAGGATCAGATGCCTAAGGGTGCAGAAAGTCTTATCTGTTTTACAGAGGCACAACAATGCAAATGTCCATCTTCTATCAAGTACGCATATAGAAGGAAAATACTCCTTAATTTTCTTAGGAAATAGCTAGGTAATATCACCTCCAGAATACATTAAAAAATCTTTGATTGTTGAGAGGGATTTTGGCCCACTAGGGTTGTGACAGATAGATCAGCAGAGTTCACCTTTTATGGAATGGGCATTGACATCCCTCAAAATCAAGTGTCTGCACAAGAGCCAACTTCCTCAAAAGCAGAGTCTCCCTCTGACCTTCCTTACATATAGGATTCAAATACAAATGATATTCATCTTGCCCAGATTAGGTGCCTACCATGAAGACCTCTATCATTGACTTAGTCCTTCTACAGCCAAAAATAAGAATTTGGGTGTGATATATCTGAATTGTTGAGCTGAGCTGTAGACAGTCATGGAAGGCGTTAAAAAGGCCTGTCTTTCTCCACTGATGCAGTGAGAACATCTGCAGAAGATCTGGTGAGGAGCCAAAGACTGGTAGAGCACATGATAGCAGACCCAGAATGTGCTCTCTATACCCTAAACAAATTCCCATCAAGGCCAGACATGCATAGTTGATTTTGTCAACAGTGTATGGCTGCTTTCTGTGAATGACTTATTTTTCCTCCTAGATATTCTATTAAAAAAAATAATAAACAAGCAGGTTCTTATGGCAATGATTTTTATATCAACTATATTGAAAGCTCTCTTTCCCCTACTAAACTAACTCCAAGCACATAGGTTCAGAGATGTCATACAGAAACATCTGGTGCATGGTCAGTGAAACCAAACGGCCATTGGCCAAAAATGAACAACCATCATTCCTGAGAAAGAAACAGTTTTACTTAGCTTATCTTTGTACAAAGCTTGCTACAAAATCAAATTAAATATGACATACTTTGTGAATCGTTTCTTACCTCACAAAGAGGTTGTGGATATTTTGCGTTATTATTGAGTTTTGCTACTGAAATAGAAGGCTGCCAATGAAAATTTCAAAACCTCTGAATAGAAAGATATGGAAGCGCTAAGAGAAAAGGGACCCATGTACTTAAACATCGAAAAGGCCAATGGAAACAGCTTCTAGGAACTACTGAGGTGAGCAAGCTAAGAGAGAAATAGAGTAGCTTGAGTCTAACTGAATCATAGAAATTATACACCAGAGAAAGAAAGAGTGGGAAGAATCACAAAGGCAATTCTTCTTTTGAAGAAATGTCTGTCACTGACTACAGATAGTGAAAGAACTTCTGATAGGATTCAGTCAAAGAAAACCAGCAGTTAGGGGATGCATTAGTGTACTACACATGTCATTACAATCTGAAAAGCTTGAGATATTTCTAAAGCTAAGCAGCAGCCTTAGTGCCTTGACCAGATGTTAACTATTGCAATATAATATATCTTGGGATTTGAAAATATGGCTATTATGGATGGAAAATATCCCCACAAATAGTATAAAGTTTTTAATAATCTCTGTCAACCATGCATTTTAGCAACCAAAAAAAAAACATTTCCAAAAGTTATTAAAAAATCATGGTTAAAAATCATCTCCAAATTACTCATAAAAAATAAATATTCAGAGACTGAACAAGAGCAGATGCTTCCATTTGAGGACAGCATTATAGTAGACAATATTTAGTATTTAGTTAATATTTAACATTTTCAATTTATTGTTTAGAAAAGCATTTCCATGCTCACCAACTCACCAACAATTTCACTTGGTTCCTTATTGTAAAGTTTTTTGTTCCAGTAAAGAAGTCTGAGAAAAGGAAAGGAGACCAGAAGAACAAGGCAAATGCCAACAAACATATGCCCTGTGAAGGCTGCGAAGTCCAATCCCTGAAATAAAAATGAAAACCTACCTTAAAAATCAATTCTTTTTCTATATTACCTATAGGGAAAAGTATTTAACTATACATACTTTACCTATCAATAATAAATATAAAGCAGTAACATAAATTCCAAGTGCAGCATATACTATAATTTGTCTATTTCAGGGAGACCAAACACATTTCAGTTTAATTCACTGAACACAAAAGTAGCATTATGATTTATTCTGAAACATATTTAGTGTTCCTGAAATATGAAAGAAAACAGAGACATTAAATCTCACTTTAATCACTAAGATCATTTTAAATTCATTTTAAATAACTTTAAAGCACAGAAATAATTAAATACTAAGCAACTAGCTTTTATTTTAAACTGTCAACATGTTTTAACATTAATTCTGCCAGAACCAGTATTTCTTCTAAATTCTCTAACATTCTTCTACAACAAAATTATTTTATATGAATAGTCTCTTTTTTGGCTATTTAAAGATGAACACATTTCTTTACATTTTGCATAAGGAAAGTCTTTAATGCAGAGGTTCTCAAAAATGTTAAGTAGATTATATTGAAAAACTATTGTTTTAAATAATAGAAAGACTAAAAGAACAGTGACAACCTGACCTTGCTTTGAAGTTAGCAATGCTTTGAGCAGGAGGTTGGACTGGATGATTTTCAGCTCAGCTGGATGATCTTTCAGCTAAATTATTCCGTATTCTCTATCACATATACTGCACTGTGTTGTCAAGGTTAGTCTTTGGGGTGGGATTTTCTGAAGTAGTCTGTTCATCATAAAGCTCAAAGGGAATCAAGCCTAGCGTACTCAAGGAGTTGCTATATACGCCCTCATCAGAGGATGTTTGAATTGATGATCCCTACACAGCAGCTCTGTCACACTTGGAAGAAAGCATGAGCAAAGCATTGGTTAGCTTGGGTTGCCCAAACTGAATTCCTAAACTTTCCACCGACTTCTCAAGACCCTAAAAAAAATCATGAGGCCTCTCTGTAACTCTTCTATGTTGTAAAATCATCTATCTTTTACTCGATATTTGGGTGCTGCCTATAGGTGTGAGGAGCAGTAGAAGGATCTATTGGCCAGCTTGTCTTTCAGTAACAGCTGCTACTTACCTTCTCTGTGTTAATACTATTGGGGACTTACTAGGTGAAACACAGGTGTTCTTCAATATTGCCTCCCACTAAAATAATTGATGTGGAACTGTTCCAGCTGAAATGTCTCTGATTCAAAAGAGGGAAAAATGCTTCTCTGTAGCATTTTAGGGTATAATAAAATATACATGTGACACAAGACACTGATTAAAGTCATAAAGAACACTCACAGCCAAATCTAGTGTTTGTTGCAAAAAAAAATCCATAGGTTACAAACAGGCACAATTACATAAATCTCAAGTATAAACATGCAGTACTGGGATTAAAATTAAAATACAGGTTTCTGCTACATGGGCTAAAAAAAACCATACTGAGTTGTTATTTAATTGTAGATTCCTTACCTCTTCTACTCTGCAGTCACTGAACATTGAAATTTTGCATACCTGTTTACAGACTTTTCATTATAATCAAAATATTGCATAATTTTTATGGATTAGAAAGAAATATCTTTAGGGATTCCAATAATCTTATTTTAAGACATAAGGGAAAAATATGGTACTATAAAAGAAAATAATATACTTTTGTTCATTTTGTATACCAAGCAGGTCAGCCAGTCAAACATCTGACACCTCTGTGGAGCAGACTATACAGATCAGTATTATTAATGCTCACAAAAAAATGGCCTGGATAAGTACTAGAGGCATCAAGACACAATTCAGACCTACAGTACATACTTCTGTGGAGGAGGAAATCAGCTTTCAGAAACAAGGAAAATTATGAATAGCCATGAAAGAAAAAAAAAATCTACAAACAAAAAGTCAATGTTTCTAAGACATGACCACAAAATATAGAAAGTATATATCGCCCTTACATATTTGTTTAATTACAGACATTTAATGTGGATATTTACTCTAATTTATATACAGACTACCTCTAAGCTTATGGCAAAAGAGAGAGAGAGAGGGGAAGAGAGAATGATACCACAGAATGCGGAAGAAATTAGAATCCTGAAATAAATTGCACTGGCCTTTGCTTGGGACTGGCTAACATATTGAAATGTGCTGTTAAATAGTTCTAGAAGGAGGAGAAACAAGCATTTGATTTCCTTTGGTCTCTAAGATGATCTGAAGAGAGCTAGGAAGCTGAAAGGAATTGAGTTGTAAAAACTGTGAAGCAACATCAGTCAAAACAACAATGTCTAAATCTGACTGGAAAATAAACTAACTAGAGTTGGTTAGAATATACTCAACTCAGATTTACCAGGATGAGGAAAATTGCTTTCACACCCCAACTAGCCTTAAAAAGTGAGGAACGCATGAAATTTTCATAGATTGACAGCAATGTACGCTTGTCAAAATAAAATAATAAGCCAGTTATCAGGCAGGAATTCCCTGTGGAGATACTCAGACATAGAGCTAATTGATGTGCGGGAAACAAAAATGAGAAATAGGAACCTGAAGAATCACTTGAGACTCTGGAGCTTAAGATTTTAATGTCCACTTCATACATTAATAGAACATAAACTTCAGGAAGTGGCTCATGGCAAACAAGTGCAGATACACAAAGATACCTGTCTCTAAATTTTGAATAACACAGCAGTTTCAAAGAGGAACAATGTCTCTTTGTTACTGAAGTGTTGCAATGCCAAAACTTTTTAAACAAAAACATAGCAGCAGAATTGTGCTGCTTGAAACCCACAAAACTGATTCCTCCAAGAAAAGGAAAATCATATCAATCCAAAAGACCAACTAAAATGCAGAGGTTATTAAGAAGGTCTCTAAATGGAGTCGAAGATCACAATACTCTAAAAAAAATGATGATTAGCATAGCTTCATGGCATAAGAGTTGACATAGGTGAGTCTTAAGAGTGATTTGTGGACAATGGCACAAGAGAAAAAATGTCTACTTCATTTCGGGCATCCTATCCAGGAGCTTACTCAAACCTTTAAAAGAGTGTAAGTGGGATGAGATTCAGGAACTTGTTAAACCATCTCGTTGATGTTTCTTATTTCTGAGATCCCTTGATCTTTCTCATTTTTGACCTTTTGATGAGAAAACAAGCTACAATGCTGCACTTGCAGAGCATCTTTCCAATTCATCTGAAATATATCATTTTTTAATATGCAGTGTGCTTATTTGAGGAAAAACTTGATGATAGTTTTGCCTATGATAGCGTAAGGCTGGTTAGTTCTCTTCCACTCCCTTCCTCTTGGTATTTCCTTCCATTTCCTCTTTGCAGAGGTCTGCAAGAGTCAGTGAGGAAAATGGATCCTGTTGATCTCCAGCTGTGGATGACTTGCACCCTGCAGCCATCAGAAGGCTAAGGACTGCCAAGCACAATCACTTCTATCAGAAGGACTCATGGTCACAACTGACCACTGTCTATGATGCTTCAGCCTGGCATATAGCTCCCTGTGCAATGCTCCGGCTTCTCTTCAGCACTTACACTACACTTCTGGGGACGAGGCTGGCAGGTTGCGCACCTCATATTGTCAGGGAATTAGCTATCAATTGGCAATTTCTTATGGACTGTGCAATACCATCCCTATTTTCCCCTTAGGAAAGCTGAAAAGGGAAAAAATGGGACAAGGAGAAAGGTGTGCCCTCTGGAAGGGGCAATGCACTGCTGTGTTACTCCAGCAGAGACATGACTGTGGCAGAGATCCTCAGCCTCTCTCCTGATCCCTATCCTCCATGAGAGAGGGTTGATGTTGTACCACCTACACAAATGATGAAGTGGAGGTTCCCAAGGAAGCAGCACAGGTGCTTCATCTGTTGCTCCTGCTCCATTTTCCACACATGCAACATCTCACACAGGCAACATGCTTTCCCAAGGGGTTTATGGATCACATTTTGTGCTTTGTGAGTCCTCACACTGATAGCCTACAGTGTTGACGCCAGGATCCAAACACATCAAAATGTTCCACGTCGGCTGCATTCAACAAAATGTCTCTTTCATAAAGGTTTTCTTACAGAATAGATTGAAATAGAATTGACATGCACAAGAGAAAGAATACTTTATTTTTTTTCCAAGGAAATTTCAATGCATCTGAAATACAATATGGGGCTGCCAATGTCCCTTACTTGAGGCTATCCTGCTTGCATTAAATTTCTCCCATTCCCCAGATGACAAAGAAAATCTGAAGATTTTGTTTTAGCAAGAAAATAGCCTAAAGGTTCCTGTGCCTACAAAGGCCCAGGAGCTGAAAGAGAACGGGTCTTTCTGCCTCATTTGTGGCTTTAAATGCTAAACCAAATATATCAATTTCATATTAAGAGGAAGTATCTATCATACTGTTTTCCTAAAATATTTTCGTTCCATTTTCCTGGTCTCTGGCAAAGAAAGTAAAAATTATAGATAAGTACAACAATTCAGGAAAATGCTGTATTTCTGGTCAATTTTCTTTATGTATTTTTTAAAAGTAAAAAAAAATGAGTAAGATCTAGAATAATTTATTGTTTCTACACTGGCTTAGACAGGCCTTTTACCTGAAGTGACTGTGGTCCATGTTGTCTCAGAAGGAGGACCTGCACATGATGTCAATAAGTCAGAAAGCATTGGTAGTCCAGTACCTTTACATACAGATAATGCTTGTGTGAGGAATCTGAGATACTGATAAACCCCCTCTTTTGTCCTGTACTATATTCTTAATGACTACTACACATAGAGATTAGAAAAAAAAAACTGTGAAATCAGCCATAAAATCATAGATTTTATTTTATATGCATTATCTAGGATCTCATATTTCTTGAGAAAAGGAGTCAATGAAACATTGACAAGATGAGCAGGAGTTTTATGAATTGATTAAAAATTTTACAGAGCTTGTATGCAGCACACTCAATAAAAATAGCCCAGTAAATTACAGGAATCTATTTCACAGTCTGGCAGTGCTTGAAATGCTTTTACAAAAAGCATATATAGTACTTTCTTCCATTTTTTCATGGTTATCTACTTTTATACATAGATTGTTCATACCAAGATTTTTCATAAAATATGACCAACTAATATTGCACCATGGTAAATTTCAGCATAAAAACTGGAATTCTCTGCAAAGCCCAACAGAAAAACCTGGTAGCCGTTCAATTGCCTGTAAATTCCAGTTGAATGGCAGGAGTAACTGTGAGTGGGCAGCTGGATATCCAAAAATCCTCAACAAACATTGGATATACTGCAGCGTGCATACAATAAATCTGACACACTCGGGAACCTCCCCCTTAGTGGGCATGTGCAATTAAAATGTCTGTCAGATTTACTATACATATGCTGCAATTTCTCCATAGTCACACCACGTGCGTGACGTGCTGAGCGGAGCTGAGCAGTTTTGTGAAGGCTCACTACGCACATTGCACACATGGTTGATGCCCACCTATTGAGTGTGATGTATGCAGGATACATTGAAAAGGCAGGTGGGAAGTGCACTGCAGAAGCCCATTGCATTTTTCTGTATTTTTCTGAGAAATTTCAAGCTCGTTCGTGTTTATCAATTAATCTAAATGATAAATGAGATTTGAAGAAAGCTTTCTCATGGTTACTTCCAAAATGACCACACCAAATGGTCTCTGGTTACTTCCAAAATGACCGCACCAAATGGTCTTAACCAATACAGAGTGTGTTTTGCTCTGCAACCCTTCCTTTGTCACAGAGGATAAGCACAAGTTTGGGAGCAATAATCACAAAGATGTAACGGTACAAGCTTTATCATACACTAACAACTAGAGTAAATAAGCAAGGTTCTTCAAGAGGACATAATCCAGGAACTAGAACAGTCTAACCATCTTCATTGTTATCATTACCTCTTCCAGACATATTGAAGTTAGATAGACTAGTACACACCATGTTCCATCATTTTGCTTTGGAGACCTATTCATCATCCCTTCTCTAAAGCTCTTGTAGTCACAGCCTATAAACTTAGGGCCCTAAGTAACTTCTGATTTCAAATATCTGACTGTAGATATTTGGTCTGCAAGTATTAAGTCTTCAAAGCTCAGCCCTTCTGAAAATAACTAGTTCAACATGCCAAACTGTGCATATAAAAATGGAAAGTCAGAAATACAGATCTCTCCAAGATATAGTTTGATAACAATGGCAACCCGAACCTGAACGTAATAGAAAGTAAAGAACAAAGAACATGGACATAGCATTGTATTCACTTAATTAATTTTCCAGTTGCCCTTATTGAAATCCCTTATTTTCCAACTCCAACTCCAAGTTAAGAACAAGCAAATCTTCCTCTTTTATTACACAGATGTTCCACTGATTCCAAACATAATGGCAGGAAAAATGTGGGTGTTATAAATTAACCACCACTACAAAGGAAAAAAATATTTTAGCATAGATTTGAACCTCAAGACAAATACATAGGCCTATCTGTACATTTCAATGAGTAAAGCTGTAACAAAAAGCTTTTGTACTCAAATATACGTTTCTCAAATTTGTTTCATAATGTGACATGAGTTTATCCCAGAACCTAGAGAAGAAAATATCTCTCTGGCACTACTATAAAGAAATATTAACATATTTCTAACACTAGAAATTTCTAACATCCAAAGTAATATGGCTGCAGCTCACTTTGTTTTGATTTAACAACAAAGATTTCTCAAGAAATCTTGCATAATGTCTGCCTGCTTTTAGAGGTCAATGTGAATTTCAAAAAATTGGTAAGATTTGCATTTTGATGAAAACTGCTAAAATAGGAAAAAACAATGCACTATCAACCTCTCCTGCAAAGGTAGTTGTCCAAACACTAACATACTCGGTTGCACTAAGTCAGTTGCACTTTGTCAGTACTAAGTAATGCTGACAAGAAAATATAAGATGGTAGAAAAAATGAAATTTCAACTAAAATATCAAGGAGGAAAAATGTTTACAATAGGAAAAGTATGCCCATGATACTAAAAAGAGGAATAAGCAGCTATTTTCCATAGGAAACATAGTAATAGTATACAATAACATAGGAATGTTGTTTCCAGAAAGCTATTAGTATTAGTGATTACATTCAAGAATTTTTCTCTCTGAGATATTTTAAAGATGAAAACAGACAAAAAAAATGGTTAGTACAAATATAGCATAGACTTTCCATACATTTTGGACATAAATTTGGGTTTGGTCAAATAAAGCTTCCACACAGCAGCTATTGTCAAAACTAGTCTCAGAAATAAGACGCAACTGAATATATTTCTTTTTAGAGTGGTCCCTAGAGCAGGTGGACAAAACTAGGAAAAAGCTGTTGGTTCAACAGTGTAGACTGTAAGAGGACAAACATACAAGCCTCCTCCCTGCCTTCATCCTTGGCTTTATCCAGCTCCCTCTAAAACATATCTACTTTAGGAGAGGATAAGCCCTAAGCAATGAGGACATAAAACAGTCCATGCCACTTAGCTTAAAAGCCAGGGTATGTCTTTGACCTTCTTTTATTTACATATATAGATATAAAAGCTGAGACCATAGGAACAAAAAACTAAAAGTTGTGCAGCAATGTGTTGAATTCGATCTATTTGCTTACATCTTTTTTTTTTTTTTTTTTTTTCCACTCCCACTGATGCAATGGAGATCTGAAAACAATCCGAAGACTTGTTTGGAAACAAGTTTGGACAAGTTTCCAACATGTTTGGAAATTTTTTTGCTTGTTTCATATAGTGAGTTTGCTAAAATGTCACATTTCCTAGGGTATTTATACATTAGGGTCCTCCTAAAATTATCAGTGTGTCATTCAAGAAAAATGTAAAACTATTTTCTTTCAATTTGATTACTTAATTGCTTCTCTTGTTAATACTCACTTCAGAAGGTTCTACAAAAATGAAGATTTTCTGAATACTTAGGAAAATGACCTTTGTGGTAGGTGATAATTTTTCTCTTTGGAAAAGAACACTGAAATATTTGCCCAGCTCTTATTTTCAAAAATGTAAAATTTAGCTATCAAAACCATCACTCAGGAATATTACAGTCACCAAAGTAATTATCCAACTAAACTGTGATAGTAGCATCTTTCAAATATCTTCAAAGCAAGCTTTTAATAGCATCTATACTATGAACTTTCAAAGGCATTTTCCTAACTGGACATTATTGAATTCCTTTTGAGACTGGTGATGCACTAAAGGACCTTGAGGAAAGCAAAGTGCTGGAGGTGGGCAGGGACCTGCCAGGTGCCTATAAGCAGCTCCGATGGGAAAGGCATGGGAAAATGGTGTAAGTGGCATCTCTTCCCCAAATGCCACATGGGTGGGGAAGGAGGGATGTCACAGGTGGCAGCAATACCCATCCAAATGTGAGTGGAAAATGGTGGTATGGCTACAAAACATTGGGTCTTGAGGCTGGAGAGCACTGCTGTTCAGACCACCCCATGCACTGGAGCCTCCCTGTTGGTACTAGATAGCAAAATGTAGCAATTTGATTCTTCAATAAGAGAGCCAAGAGGAAGACGTTTTAATTTGTCTCATTATACACCCTGGGGCTACCAAAATGTTGGCAGGAGATAAGGGCCAGCTGAGACCTGTGCTGCATGGAAGGAGCTGTTGTTCTCCTCCCTCCATCTGTCCAGGTGGTTGTCTGGTAAATAACAAGGTCTCAGCTGGTGCCTGAGTCGCATGTGGCAGGGGCTGCAGAAGGCAATGCCACCTCGCACCGCATGTGTGCCACCTCCTGTGCTCTGTGTGCATGCAAGCACTCCAAACATGTCCAAAGTTGTCTCTGTCTTACAAACTCTAAAAAAAAATATTAGCATACTCAGTATATTTAACTTTTAGGAACTATTGTTTAAAAAAAAAAAGTTTGTTTTTTCATCTTTCTTTTTACACCTTTTCTTTTTTCACTTTTGCTCCTCTCTGTTCATATCCTGCCTTCGTTTCATTTTACCATTGACAAGGAAAGCCTCAAAAATAAAGAAAACCAATATTCTCAGTCCTTATCATGAGTCTATTTTTCATCACAGTTTCCCTTTCAAAAAAAATCACTCTGTTCTGTATGATTGCTCTGTAGAGAGGAAATGAAATGGTCTTGTATTGCATAAATCACATCTGTACTTAATTTTAGTAGCAAAACAGCTGACAACACTGTACATACCACCTTCCTCAGCTCCTGCTTTGAAACAATAATCACATTTGGAGGATCCCCAACAGCCGTGGCAGCCCCTCCAATATTTGTGAAGATTACTTCTGCAATCAAGACGTGCCTAGGATCAAGATTAAGCACTTCGCATAGTCTGCAATATAAAGAAAACGAAATCGATATCCTAGCCTTTTATTAAATTACCTTAAAACATACAATTTATAAAATTTACAAAAAACATTTCTTCCACTTGGAACTGCAGGATGTTAAATATTGTATTTATGTGTGTGTGTGTGTATTGCCGAAGTTTTAATTTTGCATGCGTTAAAGTATGATGATAAGAATGAAAAAATTAGATACTTTACATTTATATTGCAAAAATTACTGCAATGAAATTGACCCATTTTTAAAAAGCATTTCGTTAAAAGTACCAAATGATTACAAGAGTTGGACTACCAAGAAAGCTGTATTTCAAATTTAAAACCTAATTCTCAGTGTCATACAACTTTTTCAACCACGTCCCTACACTGACCTAAGAGAACTTATTCCAGGTGATTGCACACTCTGCACTCAGCCTCAGTCATTAACTTTTGTGTGGAGAAGCAATATTAGAGGATTATCCAGGCAACCTATTAGCCATGAATCATCTCTCAGTGACCTCAGCTTTCAGCCTCAGTTTATTCAAACTATTCTGTTCCCCTTTTTTTCTTTCCTCTGCAGCCCAATCTTGTGCATTTCTGGATTTATTTGTAATGCAGGAAGAACAGAAAATTTACATTCTTTTTCACTAAAAAAACCTGTAAAATACTTTTAACAGCTCAAGGGCCAAACAGGCTATTAAACTTATTTCATGTGTGATTAAAAAAACAACTGTCAGTAAGAAGCAGCATCTTAAAGTGCTCTGGCAAATAGGATTGACTCAGTAGCCTCATGATCTTTTTCAATTCAGAGCCCATTTGCACCCAGTAATCTGCACACAGATTTCTTCAATTTACAGAGGCTGCAATTATACACAGGTCTATGCAATACACTTATTCTTAATTATATATTGGATTTGAAAGTTGGACCATGGCATTAAATGCTTACTGTTAAGTTCACACCTAAGCACTTGGGAGTAAGGATCGATACACGTTCCTGGTGTTCCTGGTCATGCTTACCAAAATATAGCTCCAGGGCAAGCACAGATGCAGTGGTGATTCTAACATCCATGCCCTACATGTATCCCAAAACCCCTGGGCTGGTTTTTATTAACCAAGGTGGAGTTACTACTTTAGTAACCATCCTCACCTGGAGTCAGGCAAAACCATTGACCAGGCAAGGACCTGAACCCAAGAGGGCCAGTCCACATAAAGAAGAGGGAAGAAGGGGCAGGAAGATTGCTTTCTGAGAACTTCCTTCATTAGGGGTGCTGTCACACCGTGAAGAAACCATTTCCGTGAAGAAACAGTGGAACTTCATGGTTCAGCCTCAATCTATATTATTAAAACCTATATTTCAGAGGGAAACAAGTGCATTGCACAAAAGCTTAACTTAATACACTTACACTATCACCCAAAGTGTCAATTTGAAACTCTGAAGAAACACTCTCAGATGTCACATATATCAGTATATAAAAACTTCAGAATAACTGCACAAAAAAAAATGTACTATTTACCTAAAAGCATAAAATTATGCAGCTGAAGAGTACTGTGTCATAGGGCTGGCCCAGAGAATGCACTACGATTATACTTGTAATTTTAACTTCATCATTCCTTAAATTCCAAATGTTTTGAAATAAAACCTTAAATTTCCTTTATTGTTTTTTGTTGTTGTTGCTTGTTTTTGTTGGCCCTCGTGATAATTTGAAGAAAGAACCTTTAATGTACTCTGAGAAATGCCAGGACTCAAGCAGAAATAATTTTAATGCATTAGTTGTGTAGCAGGATTGAACTTTTTCAGTTTTCTTACCCTAGCTATATAATCTCTTGGGAACAAGCATCAGTCCTTTTCAGCTCCAAGTAACAAAGTGTCTTAAAAATAAACTACAGCTAAAAATGTCTATTTTTTATCAGCTTACTACCAATGCAAAGGAGAACAAGTATCATATTTTATATCCTATTAATGGTAGTCTAAATCCCTATAGTCATAGAATGAGTACAATTTTTTGTGAGCTTTATCTCCATGGTAATGAAAGTATAGAGCAGCAGCAAGAAGCTGCAGGCAGGGACTGAAGAGAACGACAGTAAGATAAAAACAAAAAGACTTCCAGCATGACGTTTTCAGAAACAGACAGACAATTATTTGCTTTTACTTCCTGAGACCAGTTTTATCTTAGCTTTGATCGTTATTCAAAGTGCAAATGTTTCCTGCACAGTGAATTTCCCCTTCTTCAGGGTTACAAACTCATTTGGCATAAAACAGAATAAATGCTATGGTAGTTCTCACTATGAACGGTAGTTCATTATACGCAGACCTCTGGTTTTCAATCCATTCCCAATTATATTTAATTCAAAACATTCTGCAACACAGTTGAATGAAGAATGGTGTTTAATAATTCCAATGCTGCTTACTGCAAGAGGTGAAATTATTGATTGGAGTAAAGCAAAATGATCTCACTAAAATTTTATCAGACGGAAGATAAATGCAGCTTTCATTCAACAGCTTTTTCCTAATCTAAGAAATAAATTGCACTTGCAAAATTGGTCTTTACTGCTTTAAACAAAATATTAAAGCAGGCGCATATCTTAATAGAATTTTATGCACTTTAATGTGATAACAACTGCAAGTGTTACCTCACTCTGGATCATTTTAAAACTACCCTAGATTTTTCAGAAACTGAACAGGATTAACCAGATTTGCTTGGCTAAATGCAGGTTAAATTCAGGTTAAACAGTAGTTTATCATCACACATGTAAATATAAATGTAATTGCAAATCACATGTTATTAGTTTACAGAAATCTGGAGTAATTATATTCACTGTTACTTAATAAAAATCCCAAATATCTAATCTGTAATCATAAAATTAATCTGCAGCTGTATCAATATTGTGGTCACCAGTAGGAATAAAATTCAATCTTATGTTACAAAGCAAGACTTTTACTTGAAATCTGAAGATTGTTTTAGTTCGTTAATTGTCACTAGTCCTAGAAGGAATAACAACTTCCCTGAAACATAGATTATAAAATGAAATTTCATATAGCCATTATCTGATGAAGGACCAGGTATCTTCAATTTTAAAAAGAAAATCTCCCTGCTTACAGGAAAAGAAGTTCATCAGCTGTGGAGCATTTGATGGAATTTGCTATTGAAGTTCAGATATGAAGATGAATCACAGTAGTCACCTGCCAAAACAGTTATGTAGCCTTCAAATATGTGCTCACCATTAACACACACACACACACCCAAAGATAAGTATCTTTGATCCCTTTGAAAATGCTATCTCTTTACCCTATCACAATAGGTGCATTGAAAGTTTAATTTCCATATAGATGATTAAACAAAAGTCCAAATGAACATTTTGCACACATATCTACTACTAATTGCTGGCTATAAAAGACTAAGTCCAAAGCTGTAACAATAAACTTTAAAATACCTTATGGTAACTGGAGTAAAGAGCAGCATTGTGGTGACGTTGTCCAAAAACGCAGAAAGAATTGCAGCAATAAGGCACAGAATGGTAATCATGGCCCACACTTTGCCTCTAGACAACCGATAGGCCTAAAGAAGCGAAGCAAATAGCAACAAAATAAAGGGATAAGTATATTCCAGCTTAATATTCAATCAGAAATGATCAATTAATACAGCTCTGCAGCAGGTAAAGCACTCCTTAACCATGGGTAACACTTGCTCTGCAACCACTCCATCAGAATTTCCCTCTTCATCTAATCTTTGGTTCAGCTGTTGTGCAAAGGTCTGCAGTCACATTATCATGCAGGACTGCAAAGCTACTGGTCTTTCCCATATCTGCACTCTCCTATTGCCTGGGTAAATGGAGATTTCAGTTAAAGAGAAACTGCAGTGCTGGGTGAGTTAGTGGAATAACTTAGCTTGATATTATACTGGTATACCTTAGCCTTTCTAATAATAATAATAATACCTTAAGGGCTTCCTTTCACCCCTAACTTATTTTTCTCAAGTTACAAGTTGAACACAATGTGTTCAACACACACTGTTGAACACACTTATAGCATTATAAAAATGCACTGTACAGGTAAGCAGAAAGGTTTATCAAAGATAGTGTTTGGTGTAATAGGTCTGATTAAATACCAAATATATTACTCTAGTTGTATTTAAGAATACCAAAACAAGCCTACCTTTACTGCACAGTAATCAAAGAATCCTGTTTCTGAGAATATGGCCACCAAAATCATCTATCAAAAAAAAAAAAAAAAAAAAAAAGAAAAGAAAAGAATAGCTTATGACTGAATTATTATGCAAAAATAAATTCATGGAGTTTGTGATCCCAGCAAAAGTCCTTCATATCTGCCACCATTTGGTCTCTTTTATTTTTCCCAAGAATTTGATCACCCTGGGATCATGATATCTATGGCAGCTGTCAGATTCCTATAGTTAGCACATCATATGGTGAAATTCAGGTCTCAGTATAAACAGTGTCCTACTAGTCTGGTCAAATTTTAGTTGTAATGATGAAGTAGGCATCATGCTTTAAACATTGAATATATCTCCCTTATGTCAGTAACCAGAAGCCAGTGACTGTGTGTGTGCTTCCTGCAGTAATGCTGTATAGAGTACAAAAGATATCAGCTCCCAAAATCATTTACATTTTCCCACACTTCTGGGAGCTTTCCCATCCTTTGATTTTGCTTCCAAAAGCTTTTTTTGTTTTTCACGACAGGGAGGGGAAGGAAGAGCAATGTTAGGAAAAAATAAAAGCTAAGAATTGCAACAAATAATGGCAATTTTGTCTATATACAATGCATATTTTGGGCTATAGTTTAATAATACTTGGACAACTTTTTTTTTTACCACAAATAGCTCTGGGTGAAGTGATTAAAATGATGTATTATTACAATCTAATTAGCTATTTCTCTTCCATTTCTGGTTTGCTTATTTTTGCTCCAAACACAACACTAAGACAAAGAAAACCACTTTTTCCAAGCAGAGTGTGTTTGAGGACAGTTTTGAGTAAACAAATTATCAGGATGCCTGAGAGCAACAAAGATGATTAAAGAACTGGAGCATCTGTCATAGGAGGAAAGACTAAGCGAGCTGGGCCTGTTTCGTCTGGAGAAGAGAAGATTGAAAGGAGGTTTGATCAACATATTCAAGTACCTGAGGGGTGAATGTAGGGAGGATAAGGCCAGGCTCTTCTCCATCGTGTCCAGTGACAGGACAGCGGATAAGGGGTGTAAGTTGAAACACAAGAAGTTTAATCTCCATGTGAGGAAGAACTTCTTTACTATGAGGGTGACAGAGCCCTGGAACAGGCTGCCCAGAGAGGTTGTGGAGTCTCCTTCTCTGGAGATCTTCCAAACCCGCCTGGATGCCACCCTGTGCCACGTGCTCTAGGTGTCCCTGCTGGAGCAGGGGGGGTTGGACTAGATGATCTCTAGAGGTCCCTTCCAACCTCAACCTTTTTGTGATTCTGGGATTCTGTGAGAGTGAAAATACTTGGCATTTAAACAAGTCTTTCCATCCGTTATAGACCTCAAGGAAGTTTTCAGTATGTTATCAACATGATTTTATGGATGAAAAAACAGAGAGAGATCAACATATTCAAAAGACTTCTCTTCCTTTAGAGGTCTGATTATCATTATTTTTGATAAATCCATCTAAGGACACATTTTCATCATAGCATGTCTCAATAAAAGTACAATTAACAAAAGGTATAAAAAGGAACCTAGACTTGAATGTGATTGTTTCAAGACATATAGAGCAAAAGGTACATTTTCATTACCATTCCAAACAACAGCGCCAGTGTCTCATAATCAATCCATTCTACCACTTTGACCATACTTGGCCTCTGCAATCAAAAAATACAATTACCAGTGAGTACCGCAGAACACCTAACTTGTGATTAACTATAGAAACCCAAATTCCACTTAATTGCCGTACCATTTAAATAAGCTGTGATAGAAATTAATAACTGTTTCTACAAGGTACCCCAAAAGGACTCTTTTGTTATTCCTATTATTATTATGATTACCACTAATTTAAAGTACTGCTGGCATGTAAGTGGGTCATTATCAAATGCCTACATTAGACCATTGGTTCATCTATTTGCTCCTTATGTAGCATTACAGAAATAAATGAAAAACAAATTATAGGGTACCCTTGAATTTTCTTTTTTGGTAACAGAACACAAACATTCAGCTTTACCTGTGAACAAACTCGAAGGAATTTAAAGGAACAGTGATATGGTGAACAGTTATGATACAAATTGAGAAAATCCATCAGAGGTTTCACTAAATACCGATTAATTGTCAGGAAAAAAAAAGGAAGGTGTAAGCATAAGGTATAATTGTTAAGGGTAGCCTAAGCCATTTCCATTTAGGTTTGATTAGAAATCTGATATTACTGAAAATAATAGTATTAAAATAAACCTGAATTAAGCTGAAAATGGCTGTACTCAGGTTACTGAAACTCAGAACTGAGTCACTGAACCCAGTGACTTATTTTCCACTCCCTGTCTATACCTTAGGCTGTCCTTTTTCCCCATGAAAAGCACTGGATATTTTTATATCATAAACAGAAACTTATATTTTATAACTTACCTCCCCAACAACAGCTAAAGCGGCTAATGCAGCCAAAGAGCCCAACATCGCTGCAAGGGTTCTGTGAACTATCTGCAATAAATGGTAAGAAATGACTGAAAATCCTTTTAAACATCTCTCTTATTAAAAGGAAGAGGGGAAAGGATAAAAATTCCTATGGTGGATTCTTTTCTTGTTTTTCTTTCTTCCTTTTCTGCCCTGACCTCCTCTCAGAAAGACCCAGCCAGAGAACAGCAAGTTACTTTCTTTCAGTGTAGCTTCAGTGTAGCATTTTTCCAGAATAGTGGAAAAATGCAGTGTAGCAGTTAAAAAATAAAAAATAAAAAGATTTTCTGTGAGAAACCCTAGGACATCTCAAAAAAGGCAGAGAACAGACCTGGGGACAGATTTCCCCTATTTGCCAACCAGTAATCTAAGAAGGAAAGCAAATCATCATTCATAACTTAAAGATCCAAAAACTAGACATCTCAGTCCGAGCTTGCAATTCTGGTTTCCCTTCATAGCCCATGGGAAGCAAATCAGTAAATCAGATAGATCATTTTTTCTAGGTGCTTGTTCCTCCACAGCAAAGCAAGATCAGACTTAGGGTAGTTGAATCCTGCACAGACATACTAGACATTGAACTTTATGTCTGGGTTGTTATCTGGAGCACATATAGATCTGGCCAGCCTGCACAAGCACTTTCTTGCTCGCAAATGTAAAACCCACATACTCCAGTAAAAATACATTTAGCATATTCTCCTCAGTTCCTCCAAAGAAGCATACAGATCATAGAAGATACAGAAGATCATAGAAGGTACAGGCTTGACAAGAGATGTCTCTTCCAGCTGCCTTGTGAGTTGCCTCCTCACATGCTTTCACCAGAGCTAGACTAACCAAGCCTTGGACAGTGCTTTTCTCCATCTCTAGTGAGTCTCTAACATACAAGTAACACATCTGAAAAGAGGATCAAATCTTCCAGCCCGCAACGAAACACATAAATAGATATTCTCTTAATAATGAGACAATTTAAACACTGCAAGGTCATTTGTCCATGTCTATGTATCTAATGACTGAATTTCACTTAATATACTCAAGGTGGAAATATTAAAGCAAACATGCCCTGAAAATGTGTTTTAAATTCCAAGTGCTCACTTGTAATTATTTAATCCATCATGTCTGGAAGATCTGTTTCACAGATTGCTTAAAATAACTCAGTTCAAGAAAAAAAAAAGAATTAATAAAAGTTATGCTACAAAAACCTCATGAACTGTACTTACAATTAATGTCTTTAAACATTATTCAGACACAAGTCAGAATTATTTTAGAGAAAGAAGTAAGGCACTCTAGGAATATCTCATTTGCTATTACTTTCATGATAATATCTTGCTCATGAAAATCAATAGGATGTGGGCATCTGAAGGCCCTCCTTCCTGCTTGTGAAGAAAAGGAGATATTTGGCTTTGATTTGTACTTTGAACTTAAAATTTTAATGGTAACATTATTTTTATATAGAAAAGAAATGACTAGAAAAGTAAATATATAATTGACTAATTTTAAGAGCTGAAAAAAATTGTTTCATTCTCCTCTGTTTTTGTTTATAATGCACTGGGGAACAATCTGCCCTCTATGACAAAGCAGGAGATCAAAACCAAGGTTTTGATATGCTAACGACATAAAAGTACATAGCACAGTCTACATATCCAACCAACTTCCACAGTGTGTATTCTAAGTCATTGTTTCATCTTCAATTTCCAGTCTCAGAAGGTTAGCCCAAAAGCATGTGTATTGCCCTTCTGATTCTGCAAGGTTGGGGGGCATTTGATAAATTTGACAACTATTGAGACTGACAACAGGATGCAACAATTAGTTCTTACAGTTCATTTTAATCAAAGACATGAAGGAGAGGTGTCCATCAAGGAAGGAGATCAGATTCTTACCAAAGAATCTGGCAAAGTAAGTTCAAAAAGAAATTACTGGGGAAATATTGGCTGTCTCAGATCAGAGGTTTTCTGCTTATCTAGACACTCTCATTGGCTCTCTGTTTTGCAGTTCTTGGAAAGACATCATGCATTTTCTAAGTTTTGATTTCTTGTGGAATTTTTGGAATATCACTTTCCCATATTGCCACATAAAGGTTTTTTGTCATCCTTGTATGTTTACTTGTCTCTATTGGGTTGACTACGTTCTTACTTTCTAAGAGTTTGCTGTCACCTATGGGTGAAACTTGCTTTAACTTCTGCAGAAAAGTGGAAAAAAAATCTGTACCAATGTAGTCGTCCCTCAGATCCTTCGTCCTGGTGATTTTTAAAGATGCATACGCAAAGGTAGATTAGATTCCTAAGAGTGAATAATGTCTATTCAGGTGCAAATCTACGCTGCAGAAAACTTGTCAAACAAGCAACTCTTCTGGCAAATTATCAAGTGAAAGCTGTATAAAACCTAGGAAGTGAGTTTATATACAGATACAATTATTTAAAAAGAAGAGATTTGGAGAAGGTTTAGGAAAGGGTTAATTTTCTTTTCACAAAGAGCAATCCTTGTAAAAACCTATACATTCATAAAGGCATTTTTAAAAGCTGGAAAAAATTGAGAAATCAAGAGATATAGGTTATAAATTATGCCACTCTTTGAACAGTTCCACTCTTTTTGTCATTATTTATCTCTAGAAGATCTCATATTTGTGGGGCAAAATTCAGCTATTATTGTTTTGGAAAATAGTTGGACCTGATCTTTTGAACTCTGGAAAGAGGATGAATGCCATTTCATGATGAATCTCATAGTGCATCCACACGTAAAAGTTCAGGTACAGAATCAAAAGAAGAGCTCAGAAATAAATTAATAAAGACATCTAACCTCAGGGAAGTTGAGGGATTTGGTAGACTTCTGAATATAAAGAAGTTTTGAAAGATGAAGTGAGAAATAATCTCTATTTGATCCTTCTCAAACTTGAGAAAGCATATCTTTGTGTCCTTTTTAGTAGACAAAGACAATTGCCCTAAAAGAACCCCGATTCATAATGTTTTTCTCTTTCCATCAGGAATAGCCTATGAAATCATACCCTTTTTTTTTGGCTGCCTAACCTGTTTGGATAAAGTCCCTATTTCACAGATTGAGTACTGAAACAGAAAGAAGTGATGGCCCAAGACTTAGTTGTGTTAGGCAGCAAGAGCTCCTAAACTCGGGTAGCCTAAGTCCAGCCCTACCCTCTGGTCAACCCAGCCAATTTAAGCAGACCTATGGAGTCAGAGACAACAACAGTAAATAGACTGAATAGTCTATCAGAGTCAATTAACTAAAGAAACTCAGGGATTTACTTCTGTCTGCATTTCATGGACAGACTGAATAGTCTATCAGAGTCAGTTAAAGAAACTCAGGATTTACTTCTGTCTGCATTTCATGGAGTGGAAAATACTAAGGGTCCTTCCAACTAGAGTAAATGCTAATGATTCACAGGCTGTAGATAACTGAGTGGAACTGTTTTGGACAGTGGGACTATAATATGCATTTGAACAAGATTAAGCATAATGCATCCTCATCAAAGACACTGAAACAGTCAATAATTTTTGCAGATGTGTTTTCACTTTCCTCTACATTTTATTTCCTTTTTTAACAAAATCCATCTCTCAGCACTGACAAGCTCTTGCCTGGATGTATGCTTCTGCTACATGTATACACTCCTTTCACAAAAGTCATCACTGGAATTATTTGCACTCCGAACACACATGGCACAAATTCTTCTCCTTGTCTTTCATTCTCTCTCCATTTTCCTCCTACCCCCATTTCTATCATTTTGCGTACAAATGCTCTCTCACACACTCCCATCCTCTCTGGTCCTTAGTAGGGTGTCAAAGCCACATAGCAAAATGACTTCCTATATTCTTCTCACTCTCTTATTTCTTCCCCGCAGGATGGATTGCCACAGTTTACTGGTTCAGGCACAGTTTGGCCACTCTGTACCAAACACTTCTTAGAAAGGTTCTTTGCCTTACTTGCCAGGAAGTTTTATTAAAAAAATCAAGCCATAGCCACAGTGACGGAAGTGGCAGAAGGACCAGGAAGATGCAAAGCCTGTATTCTCACAGCCTGCTCCTCACCTCCCAGTCTGTCTATAAACTTCATGACCTTTTCAGGAAACGGACAGCCTGGTCATCAGAATCATCCTCATTTTTGCTCGAAGAAGTCCCAGCAGTGCTGACTCAAAGAAACCACAAAGGAGGATGCTTGGAACAATACAAATCACTACTGAACACAAGACAGCAGTGTTATCCTTTACAATGCACAACTCACTTCTGGAACTCACTGACACAGGATATCAATTAAGCTGAGAGCTTGAATGTGTCAAAAAAGAGAAATGGATATTTACAGAATTAAGTAATGAAAACATCCAGAACTGCAATGACGGAAGCAATAGCCTCCATCAACAAGAACATCAACAATATACTGATGGCAATAGCAACCATAGAGTCATGTTGCAAGGTCAATTTTTAGCGGACAGAGATTAGAAAAACTTGTTCAGTGGGTATTTTGTTTCATAATTGTCTGTAGATAGTTTGTCTCATAAATGTTTGCCGTGTGATAATGCTGATTCTGTATGAAAGTTTCCATACTCTTAACTAAAGTTAATTTTAACAGAAGAAATCAAAATATCCCAAATCATTTATGCTACAAGTATGTTGGGCTTTACATTAATTAAATATATATAACCACAGCATTTAATTCAAAATGGATTTAGACAACTTACACCTTTATTTATCCAAAAAAGCTTTAAAATATTTGCACACTGTTCAACAAACCTTAGGTACACTGCAGTAATATCATTATAAAAACTGATCCAAAGTTCCAAAGACCTTATTATCTTGTGAAGAGCTCCAGGAAGTAAAAGGAAATTATTTAGAAGCGAAGTGAATGGTGAACTGAATGCTATTTCACAGTGTACTTTCCCCAGCTGAAATCTAGGACATACATATTTTTAAAATATGCTTCTGAAGATATTCGATAAATGATACCTCATACCAAACATTTTATTTTCACAAGTCCCTCTTCAGAAGTGATAAATGGCAGTTGAAACATGACTGTCAGTGACTTTAATT